CGTCACTGTGAGCGCTCAAAGAAACGCTGAATGGTGTCATCTGGCGTACGAAGCTACCATTTACCAGGAAGACCATCATTAGGACCTGATAGAGCAAGAAGAGGGACCATTAGTGGACAAACCTCGATATGAGATTTCATTACACATTCTGCAGCAACCGCGAAAGTTCACCCAGGTGCTGACTGTCTTACCCCATCAGCTGCCAGTAAAGGAATTACCAACATGCGAAAAAAACGACTGCCGTCACCCAACCTCTGGAAGCCGCCGGCACTCTGCTGATGAAAGCCACGGACGCTCGGACTTATAAAGCTGGTCCCTGAAGCAAGAAAGAAACTTTAGGACCTATCACAAGCCGACGACTAAGTGTGCACCTTCGGAAGCAAATTGCTGTGAGGCTTGTAAATACGCCAAGGAATGGGCAGTAATATCTAAGTAAATCCCTGTCCCGAAGGCATCGAGTTAAAGGACATAAAGATCCCTCATTCGGATGAAAACACGCCTGAAGAGGTGGATCGATTGAAACGAATCATACGGAAGAAGTGACATCTGTTAGTGGGAAAGGCAACGCCCTTCCACCAGCCGCTCGTGGTACCATCTGCGACATTGATGTGGGAAGTGCAAGAATGATTGCACAACGCGTGCGAAAGGTAGCCCCTCATTCAAAAAAATGTTGACAGAACCTTTTAAAGGTCTATTGTAAGCGGAGATTATTCAACAGTCGACTCCGCCGTGGAACAGCCCAATAATGATCATAGTGATGACGAATGGGGTAGATATCAGGTTCTGCATTGACTACAAGTTGGTAAACGACTTGACTCAGTTCATGGTCCACCCCATGCCACAAATTACTGAGCTCTTGGAAGATTTGGATAGTGCGTTGTGGCACTGCTCTCTCAATACGGCAATTGAGTTTAGGTGGTCAGCATGACTGAGAGGGCAAGGTTGATTTAGCCTTCGTCATCCTGTTATGAATGTTCAATTGGCTACGGATGCCATTTTTCGGACTAAAGAAAGCACCACATGTTTAACAGCGCCCTTTAGACAACGCGTTATACGGGTTTTTACGTAAACCCTCCCGAATTAGCTTGGATGATCCAGAAGATTTGTTTGAGTCGGGGAAATTAGACACAAATTCAGGCCCCTCGATATAGGGTCGTCTTCGTACACAGACGGCATACTAATACCCGCCAAATGTTGGGACGCGTCTATAAAAAGGTGGAACGGTTGCTGGACGTATACGAATACTGAAATTCGTCATTAGTGCAGTCAAGAGTTTGTGGAGATGTCGGAGATGTCGGAGGGTCGACTACGTTGGCCACTGGGTATCCAGAGAAGTATTGGAAGCGCACCCAAAGGACTCACAATCACTTATTGACCAACCTCTACCAACAACGCTCAGGAAATGCAGTCGTTCCCTGGAAGTATTTATTACTATAGCAGGTTTATCGAGGATTATGCGATATTTTCATCGATCCTGTATGAGCAGAGAGAGGCGAACTTCATGCGAGGAGATGCAAGTTAAAGGATGACGACTCCTCAGTGACCACGGCAGAAGACGAAAAAATGGTCTAGAGCTCAAGTGGCTTTTGCAACTCTCTCTTACAAGACTGCTACAGCATCTATTCTGCAACATTTTGACCCATCGAAAAAGAGGCAATTAATTTATACTCGAGCGAATGAGCAATTACAGCGTTGCTGGTGCATGAATATGACGGCGCAAGTGTGCCAGTGACCTTCACGATCCGAACATTTTAAGACCAACAAATTAAAGTATAGTACCGTGGAGAAAGAAGTGTTAGCGATTTCACGGAAATTGGAAGAGTGTCTTATGATGTTGGTCACCCGACCTCTCGGAAAACTACCGAGACACTCGACGCTTTCCTGGTTAGTCAGATCCTTTGAATTGCAGGGGTGCTTCGAAAATTGGGCCGCTCTCTCATCCTAGTGGACATTAGAGATTGTGAAGTACAAGAAAGGCGAAGAGCGGTTGCTGAAAGAGTTAGCAGACGGTTTAACCCCCCCGCCTTGAGAGTGTAGACTTGATCCTATCGTCCATCTCACCCAAGAAAAAAGCGAAACAGAAGATTAACTGACCTACGCCCACTTTGGAAAGACACGAATAGCTAAATGTACTGATCTTGCATGGTAAGGATCGTGTGAATCAAGGAGGTGGACCCTATAGCGTTGTCGTATGGAGCCTGCCTACGTTGTCGGTAGTAAGCACCGCCTTAAATTTTCTCAAGGTATCCATGGTGAATGGAGCCGAATACGAAGGCATGTTGCTGGATTTCGACTTGAACCTTCGAATCGACAGGGACTCATCATCAGTGAAGACTCCAAGCTAACTGTCAGGCAAATGCGCAGGGAAATCGAGTGCAAGGCTTCAGGTTGTCTCCGTTGCATGCAAAAACAAGCTTCAGTTGTGAATTTTTACGAGGAACTCTACGTAATGCGAAATTGGACTCTCAGTGCAGACCAGCTGGTTAGTGAAGCATTAGAAATACAAGAAGGGGTCGAGTCGGTACTAAGAGAAGAGTGGCCAGGGTTGGAAGTGATCTCCCGACTGCCAGAGCTGCTGGTCATCAGAGAACAGGATCTGACGGCTAGAGTATTTGCGGTGACCCGACCAAGGCCACCACACAAAATATACAAAGAAAAGAAGCCAGGAGTTGTGATACAATAGCTGCGATTGGAACGTATCCTGAAGTCTCAAGAGGAAGAGAGCTGAATAATGAATTTGAAGGCGTATCAATGAGGTATCTAGGAGATATTTTGGCAGATACGCACATGCATGCAGAAAAATTGCCAGAGTTTATGAGATCAGCGAAGAAGGATTACTGTTGCTTTGCCCCATCCACAAGAACTACAAAGGCGAACGAGAATTGACCGCCTGACTGGTGATCCCCCGAATCCATTCAGACCGATGTTTAACATCACAACCAAGCCAGTCTAGAGGGCGGTCACCGAAGGGATTGGTCGCACCTACCATCGAATTCGCAGGATTTGCCATTAGGGAGGTTTCGAAGTGTGCAGCGATATGTGGGCTTATGTGTAGAATGCGAGACGGGAAAAGGAGGGCCTACCTTTCAAGGGACGACCCCGGTACTGTCGAGTCCACTTACCCGTTTCTGGCCATATTAATGGATCATATCTCCTCATTGCCCAAGTCACATAAGGTAACCACTGAGCACTTAATTTTGGTCGACTTATTTACAAAGTGTAACGGGGCACCCTGAAGCTTGTACTGGTGACAGTACAAGCTACTTATTCTGATAACAGAATAAGGCGGTGCCTCGTAACTTCACGTACACTCGTACGTGCAGAGGAAGACGGTAAGAAGAAGCGAGTACTCGGTTAGAGTAAAAAGTAGAACTGTATTTATAATAGTTAATGTCTGCAATAAATCACTATTTATCTTCATCTAACTATGTCTAAATACAAATGTGTAAATCAGTTATCTGCTCACCACTCATTGCGTGCGTCTGTCGTGGCGCGTCTTCGTTGGTTGATATAATGGCCTATATCAACCAATTAGGAACTACTTGGAAGTGCTACAGAATATTGTCCTTATGACAATATTCTGAGAATATAACTCTTATAGTTATATTCTATTAACAATTTCTTATAAATTGTTATGTAACGATTCACCCCGTTACATCACCCCCCTTAACCATCAGTCACTTTAGTGACTGATTGACTAAATGGATACTCGTCCCAAATCATTTGGGACGGGGTTTGCACTTGTTGGTCCGCGTCCACTTTCCAACATCTCATCGCATGGTAAACAAGCCCATGCGATGCGCGAGCAAGGCCGCCGAGAGCGCGTCTGCACGTCTCTGTGCGGACGCCGAAGCAGAAACTACAGCAACTGATGTCCCATCGGTTGCTGAATCGACTCAGCCTGTATCACCTGGTGATGCAGGCGCTGGTCATGAAGACACTCGTGTCTTCACAGAGTACGAGCTCGGTGTCTCGTACTCTCCTGATACGGATGACGGATCCGTATCGACGGCAATTGAATCCAAGCCGCCTGCCAAGCGTGGCATGGACGATGCTTTGCGTCGCAGCATCTTTGGTTCATCTGATGAGTCAGATGAACCATCGCCGAAGCGAAGGCGCTCGAGGTCGCGAGACTCGGGCGCTAATAGTGGTGTCGTTTCTCCAATGGACACCACTTCACAGCGAGGTGCCAGTACTTCTGTCGGCACGTCGCAGGAAGAGCGGGACCGCAATGTGTTGCGTCTCGCTCCAGAAAAGAAGGCATGGATGCCTCCTAAATCTGTCATGGATCACTTGTCGGCGACGACGAGTGATCGTTATCGAACACGATTGTTCGATTCGTCAAGGATCCATCACCTTGACCCCAGCGCGAAAGACTATCGCGCTGAACATGAGTTCTTCATCGATGCTTTCTTCAGACATCGATGGTACAGTGGGAATCACAAACGTGATGGTCCCTCACTACTTCAGGCGTGGAACGCCCTCATCCATAATCTCGAGGATGTAGGTCGTGACGCTTGGAACGACAAACTTATCAAAGCTCGTGATAAGTTTGAAAAGCGAACCCCGACAGGTGCACGCTATAAGCTGCATCGTCTGTCAAGGGAGAAAGGATTACCCTGCCTCTCTTGGGGAGACTCGTGCCCATGTTGTGTGAACAACTCTGCACGAGCACCTAAGGAGGCTTACCTCCTTACCAGCCCGTGGTGGCGCGTACGTGTCTCTACTGAGATGTACGAAGGGATTGACAACCTGAAATCCCTTTACGACCGTGCCGGGAAGACTTTCTCCGGCGGTCCTTCTGCGACACAGGATGTGTCGCGTCGTACTGCTCGACCAGACCCAGTACGTCAACCATCAATTGGGAGCGGGGCTCCCAAGAATCCCAGGACGGGGATAGCCGCGCCACCGGACGAGGTAACTCGTCCGACGTCCGTTCACGTCGCGGTGGTTCAACAGCTGCTCTACTAGATAGCGCTGGCCACCGCGAGAGTCCTCTAATGGAGGTGGAGGAGGAGGAAAGACGCTCTCCACACGATCATGTGGATCGGTGTGTTCCCGAGAGCTTCTTTGATCGCGTAACGCAAGGGTTACGCGACGATCTCGAGCATGAGCGGAATAGGCGTCTCCAGATGGTGGACACTGCCTTGAAGCATCGAGCTGAGTTTGCCTTTGCTCAGCTTGAGAACGAGAGATCTCTGACATCTCTTCGTGACGAGCTAAGGGTAGCTCGTGGGATTGTTGATCGGTCTCGGGCTGAGATAACTGCTCTTCAGACCCTTGTTGATGCCCACCATCGGGAGCACAAGGCTCTCTGCGAGATGCTTGAGCGCAAGGGCGTTCTTCATCGGAAGAAGCAGCGTACTGATGGTACGGCTTAAGCCGACCAACGTAAAACGTGGGATGCGTTCGCATCTTACGTGGTAACTCGATCGTGTATGCATTGCCTAGGCGGTGCAATACACGAAATGGGCCAATGTACTTGGGTAGTAGTTTACTGCTACCCAAGTTAGTCACTACATGTTTTGGTAGATTAACCGTAGACAGTAGGACTAAGTCACCTTTATTAAATAAAAAGAGTGTTTGCCCTTCCATTCTTGTCAGCGTTTTGCTTTTGCTTATCCACCGCTTCGGCGATGGAGTCTTGCACAAAACGGACTACCGTTTCACGAGCCAGTATGAACTCATCTGATGACTCGTTAGCTTCAGTGTGCTGTGAGCGCACTGCAGCGACAACAACCTTTTCTTCAGTGAGGGCTTCCGCACTCTCACTGGGATCATTGTCTTCAGTGAGGGCTTCCGCACTCTCACTGGCATCATCTTCTTCGATATCGATGTTATCGATATCGGCATCAAACGCAATGACTTCTTCGTCAGAGCGTGATGAGCGTGAACCAAATCGGTTTTTGCTCGCGCGAGTCCCTCCCCCCCTTAAACCAGAGTTACACTCTAGTAAGGTGGGTACACGCGGATGGCGCAAGCCATTCACGTAAAACGGTGTATGTGTCGTGGACGCATGCACCGAGTTGTTGATGGCAAACTCTACCATCGGCAAAAACTCACTCCAACTCTTAAAGGAGGGTGTACGTATCCTCGAAGTATCTCTTCAAGGACACGATTGGCACGTTCCGTCTGACCATCTGACTCTGGATGATCAGATGTTGACATCTTCAAGCGCGTTCCGAGTGATTTGAACACGGAACGCCAGAAATAAGCAGTGAATCGTGGATCTCTGTCTGATACGAGTTCACGGGGCAACCCATGAAGTCGGAAGATGGTGTCAATAAAGACACAAGCACAGCCACTTGCCGTGATTGTCTCTGGTACAGCCACAAGGTGTACCATTTTGCTGAATCTGTCAACAAATACGAGAATACCCGTATTCCCGCGTGCGTCTTTGGGTAACCCGAAGACGAAATCCATTGAGATGGATTCCCAGCACTCAGCCGGAACCGGTAGAGGCTGTAAAGGTGCACGCAGTGAAGGACTTGACTTCACTCGTTGGCAGACTTCGCATGCGCGAACATACTTTCGCACAAACTGATACTGGCGGGGCCAGTAAAAGTCTCGACTTACCGTGAGATATGTTTTCTCTCGGCCACGATGTCCTCCTATAGGAGCATCGTGATACTCGAACATGATCCGCAAACGCAGATCAGTATCATCTGGAATGACAACACGTGGTGTGTCACCAGAAACGGCTGTATAGTACAGTAAACCGTTACGAGTAGTGTATCGATCTGATGCAGATCGATACGCAGACGACAATCGTTTCAACGATTCTCGAGATGGTTGGGAGAGATGTGACAACAACTTCACTATCTCACCATCTTGGGCGTATGCCCGCCTCACATCATCATACAACGTTGTAGATGGAACTGAGGACGTCATAACCGCAACAGTGACTGTCTCACTGTTGGGTTTCGCGACTGTTTCAAAGTCGGGACGACGTGAGAGTGCATCAGCGACGACATTAAGTCGTCCTGGTTTGTACTCGACCGTAAAGTTGTATTCTGCAAAGAATGACAACCACCGCGCCATTCGTTGTGAAAGGTGCGGGCTGTTCACTGCCGTGCGTAAGGACGCATGGTCAGTGTAAACAACGAAGGGTCTATCTCCTAATAGATAGACTCTGAACTTCGCGAGTGCATACTTCATGGCAAGGAGTTCCTTGTCATGCACTGGATAGTTCCGCTCAGCTGGTTGCAGCTGACGCGACTGATAGCAGACGACGCGTTCAACGCCTTCAAGGTCGTACTGCATTAATGCACAGCCGATTGCGAAATCGCTGGCATCACAGACCACATGAAATGGCCTGTCCTGATCGGCTATTGCTAGGACTGGGGATTGTATCAAGCTCTGCTTGATACCCTCAAAGGAGCGTTGACATTCAGCGTTCCCATAACCACCTCTCGTTCTTTTTCAACAAACGAGAGAGGTGTACAGTCATCTCGGCGTAATTGCGTGAATACTTATGCAAATACGCCGCTAGCCCAAGGAATTTTCGAAGACCTTTGACATCGACCGGCACGGGCCAGTCGGTGATCGCCTTGATCTTTTCGGGATCAGGACGTACACCGTTCTTACCAACGATGCACCCAAGAAGTGGTATTTCGCTTGCTGCAAATATACACTTCTTGAGGTTTGCATACAATTGATGCTTTCGCATGATTGTAAGAGCCTGTCGGACGTGGTACCTGTGAACCTCAACGTCCGACTTTCCATCCATAGCTCGACTATGGATGAATACGTCATCGAAATAACTCGGAGCGAATTCTCGTACTGGCCTCAACAGATGTGATACACACCTGTTGAACGTGGCAGGGGCATTACTGAGCCCTTGTGGCATTACTAGCCATTCCCAGAGCATGCCGCTAGGCGTGCTAACTGCGGTATAGGGTATATCCCGTTCCCGCATTAGGATTTGATAGAAGCCATCCATCAAATCCATGGACGAAAAGATGGTACTCTTTGACATACCATCAATGATTACGTCCTTCCTCGGTATCGGCGTCTGAGCCGGTACCGTTGCAGCGTTCAATTTGTTAAACGCGTGCACTATCCGCCACCCTCCTGTTGCTTTTCGCACACAGAAGGTCGGAGAGCTATGTGGGGAAGTTGATTCCCTCACATGGCCCGCTGCTAAACGATCGGCAAAGAACTTGTCGATCGCAAGTACTTGTTCACGAGGCAGTGGCCACTGCTTCATGACACAGTACTTCGAGCCTGGTTTAAGCTCGACTTCGTGTCGAATACCTTTATCCTTCGGTAATTCGCACGGAACAGTTTCAGGGAATACATCCTTGAATTCAACCAAATCTTCATAGAGAGGATTTTCCTTGAGCGATTCCCATGATTGGGACTCATATCGCTCAATTCGTGTCTTTTCATCTAGGACACTCTCGTCCATAGATGAACTACTGAGAACTCTCTCGTTATCAGTAAACACTGTTGCTGACCTTATGTCGGTTACATACTCGTCTTCAGCGACGAGTATGCAGATCTGCTTGACTTTGCCACTACGCAGATCACGCAAGAATCTTTTATGTTCGAGCGTTGGCAACTGAGTGATCTCCGAAGTTAACTTCGGAGGCGCAATCAGATCAAGTGTATAAGCGCCTACACTTGATCCGTTATTGACCATGACATTCAATGTCTCTGTCATTTCCTGGGGACTTATTCCCTCAGGCTTCGAAGGACTTATTCCTTCGTCTTCCCGGGGACTTATTCCCGCGGGTTTCGGGGAACTTATTTCCGCCGTATTTGTAATCTTGGGACTTATTCCCTTTACTTCCTCTAGCTGGGGTTGCGCAACCACAGCGAGATCCTCTACGAAAGACTCTCCAGTCGATCTAGGATTATCGTTTCGCTTAACCTGAGCGATCGATTGTTTCTCTTCTAGATGTTCCCCTCTAGGGATACATCTTTGTCCCAGTCCACCCGACTTATTCGAGTGGTGGACCTTCGGCGCAGCCTGTGTTTCCTCACAGCCGCCGGAACTTTGCTCCGAAGTGTAACCGTTTGGTACACTAAGGTTTTGTGCAGTCGTACTAACGACCGTACCACAAGTGAGGCCATCGCACTCACTCGTAGTACATCCACACGCTTGTGGACTCTCCAAAACGTTCATCAGATGGACATCTGATGAACAAGCGGCAGGCATCGTTACTGTCCGATGTTGCCAGTTTACCCGTGGTTCGTACCTTCTGAGCCACGGTATTCCAAGGATGACATCAAATTTGTCATCCAAATCCAATACGATAAAGTCATCGTCGTATTGGGTATCTTCTAGCGTATAGTGAATCTTCACTATACGCTTCATGACGGTTACGGATGCGCCTGTCGCAAGACGTACCGTCATCCTCGTAGGAGGTGTGTCACATTCACTGAATTTAAAGTGACCATCTTCTAGCGATTGGCGTCGCACAAAATTGTTGGACGCCCCACAATCGACTAGAGCTCGAAGGGACAACTTATTCGTCACTTCGAGTTTCAAGGTAATGAGTGAGATCTCATTACCTAGAGCAGCAACGCACAATGTCTGTGTGTTGGGAGCAACCTTCATCAAGAGGCCTACAAATTCTCTTGACGTTGCTGGATCAGTAGGGTGCTCCGCACCTACTGATCCTGTCCGTTTTTTGACGGTCCATCCCGTTGTTGCGTCTTTGCACCAACTGCGGACCCTCGTCCCTGCCCCTTTCTCATGGGTGGACGGTCACTACGCCCAGTGTCGCGAGACACTGGACGAGGGGCACTACACTCGTAAGCGTAGTGTCCTGTCTTTTGACATCTGTTGCATCTCTGCAACTTCTTGTAGCCTGTAGAGCGAGCCTTCTCGCTCTCTACATAACAGAGTTCCATCGGCTCTGGACCTCCGTTGTCATATCGTCTCGGTTGACGATATGATGTCGAGCTGGCGCGAGCCTGTCTCAGACTGAAGTCTTCCTGCTCCGCAATTGAAATGGCTTGTTCTAGTGAATCTAGTTCAAGCCGGAACAGGTGAGTCTTGACGGGACCATCCGCAAGACCCTGCATGAACACCGAAACCAACGTGTGTTCATCCACCGGATTGGAACTTATACAACTCGTGAGATGTCGTATATGTTGAGCGTAATCGTGCACATCACGCTTACCCTGCTTGAGCTTCAAGAGTTCGGTTCGAGCTCTGAACTCAGCTCTAGGCGGTTCAAACGTTTGTCTGAGCCGCGACTTGAAGACTTCCAACGACCCAAACGCGTATGGGTCGTGCAGCTTGAGCCCCAGTGCCCAAGTCTTGGCACGTCCTGCCAGATTTGACTGGGCAAATGCAACTTGCATATCCCCGTCGTCGATGCGACGCGCCCTTATGGCGTCATCCAATTCGACGAACCATCTCAAGAGGGAGTCTTCTTCGACCCCCCTATACTTTGAGATGTCAATCTTCAAAGTCTCGGGTCGACGCGAGTGCATCGACCCGCCAGCAGCAGCCTGCTGCTGGCTCAACAGTTCAAACTGTTGAGCACCCTGTTCTCTTGAAAACTCTGCTTGTTGGGAACCTTGTTGGTGAAGCAAGGCTACTTTCTCGCGTTCTGCGTCAAGTTCATTTTGAATGAACTTGGCGATAGTAGCATGTTGGGCATCTCTATTGAGAGCCTCTAGCATGACGCTAACAGCATGGATGCCCATGGTCGAACCCATTCGTTCAACCGCATCCCATTCGACATCGCTCAAATGGGAGTAGCCGTCACGCGTAGCGTGAAAGCTTTGGTCATCTTCATCATCCAACATATTCATGTTGGATGTGAACGCGGTCCTTGGACGGACTACGAAGTGCTACCAGGTGTAACGGGGCACCCTGAAGCTTGTACTGGTGACAGTACAAGCTACTTATTCTGATAACAGAATAAGGCGGTGCCTCGTAACTTCACGTACACTCGTACGTGCAGAGGAAGACGGTAAGAAGAAGCGAGTACTTGGTTAGAGTAAAAGTAGAACTGTATTTATAATAGTTAATGTCTGCAATAAATCACTATTTATCTTCATCTAACTATGTCTAAATACAAATGTGTAAATCAACTATCTGCTCACCACTCATTGCGTGCGTCTGTCGTGGCGCGTCTTCGTTGGTTGATATAATGGCCTATATCAACCAATTAGGAACTACTTGGAAGTGCTACAGAATATTGTCCTTATGACAATATTCTGAGAATATAACTCTTATAGTTATATTCTATTAACAATTTCTTATAAATTGTTATGTAACGATTCACCCCGTTACAGTAGACCTGCTGAATGAGAATGTGGTCGCGACTACTCTTGCAGAGCTTGTGATCAGCAAAGAGTATCGGCATCATATTCCATTTCAAAGTTTGCACCGCCCTGATGTATCATTGCCACCCCGTAGGCTTATTGTAGTTCACTAGCAGGATCAAATAGATGTCCTGCCAAGCAATCAGCTTTTGTTCTGCCACATCCGATCCGATGATGAAGCGTGGATGTTTATTGACTGAAGCAGCTCGATTTAAAATACATGAGACAAATTCCAGTCCACGCTATTGAGTTTTGCTCATTCGCACAGACTTGAACTCTTTTCATGAATCTGCTTTCACCACTTCACGGTGGACAACCAGGCGCGGGATCGCAAGGGAAAACAAACATACGATAGGACAGGTGTAAAAACTGACTGAGGTACCGAAACGTGCTCTGCAAACGCGAGGAAAGGATGAGCACAGAACCGGCATTCAAGTATCAAAGTGATTTCTGTATTTGATCTTGCGCGAACAAGCTCAATCATCACATGACAGTAGTACGATACTACATGCCTACACTAAAGCTCCTCCTGGGTAGTATCTAAGCCTTCGCGACCGTGATGACTTGGGTCAGGTCGTAACGCAGACTAGGATAAAGCTCTTCCAGCTCGGCAACATTTCCAGATCCAATGGCGATCGTGCGAAGGTACTTCTCGTCCCCGAAGTCACCCAAGTCCTTAGCACCGCTGTTTCCATGGTTCCAGACAGTGCGATCAGTAGGAGGGATATTCGACCTGTGGGCACCGTCACCCCACTCAGCAGACGCCGCGACGATGACATTCCAGTCGCCGTGTTCACCCCTGATGTGGGCAACCACGTCGCCCGTGACGTTCTTGTAGATGTTGTCAATCTGCGATAAAATGCCAAAGCTCTCACGCGTTTCAAGCTGGTTCGTCTTCGAGATCCGGTCAAAAAAGTTGACGTTCTTCAGACCCGAAATCGTCACGCCATCGTTGCGGATGTCGGGGACGGAGAAGTAGTTTTGAATCAGCGCGTGAAAGCTGATAGCAGCAGGGTGGGTGTCGATGACGGAGAACATGATCTCGAGCGAAGATGACCGCAACTCCAGTTGGTACATTAGCTTGAACTTGAAAGGCCACATCTGCATGGTAGCGTCAGTAGACTCCAGGTTGAAGAAGGCATAGGTGGGCCTATCGCGATTGGTCGCCGGAGTCACGCTGCTGACTTCCCACTTCATGGTGCGGGCAAAACCGTTCAGGGGGATGGAATAGCCGCTTGGGGCGGTCCCGTAGTATGGGAACACGGGGGTGAGACCGCCTTGGATGGGTGTCACACCGTCGGAGGTCGACGGGTCGTCGGCCATGAACAGCACGTTCACGTTCGGATTATCGGCCGTGTAGAACGATATCACTTGTGCGCCGAGGACAGCGACTTCGGCACGGGAGCCAGATACATGCTCGAGTAGGACAGTGCCTGGAGCTGGGTTAGCAGCTCCTGGCGACGCCAGCAGAGTCGATGCCAGCAGCGTCGACGAAGTCAATGCCGAGATCTTGAGCAGGAACGAATGGACCATGGCTCACGTGAGGAGAAGATCCGTTGGACGGGTGGAGGTCCAAGATGCGCTTGTTGAGTAGAAGGTGAATTCCGAAATGAAGAATGGAGATGATCGAGAAGGAGGTTCGTGCTGACGGGCGAATTCGACGGAGACTTCGCAAGCGCCGAGAGGACAGCGTCAACAAGAGGATACGAAGCCACCGAATCGTACCGTCTGATTGCTGGCTGAAGACATCAGACGACACGAGAGTTCCCATCTCAAGATGCAGCACATGCGTTGGGGATCGACAGGTGCGTGTGACACGTGCGTAGCCTGGATATGCCAAGAGGCGACAGGATGATGCAATGTCGCGTTCGGTGCTAATCATGCGACAACGACAGCAGCTACCGCAGCTGCACTGTCGATCTCAACGATTGGACTTCACGAAGTTGCATTGTGCTCGCAGCACACAATCACTACGAACCCTCTCTCTCTCTCGAATACACCCAAGGCCAAATCTCACGCGTGGGATCGCATGAACCTGCGATGCGCTTCTTCCGGACTTTACATCAGACCGTTGGACATTCTCGCACATGAACGGATCGGATCGAAGCTAGACCGGGCAGGGTGCCGAAGCAATTGCGCCAAGACCTCACCTACTATCGCTGCTAGAAACCTTCCTCCGAGGTCGGGTCAAAAGGTGCGTGTCTCAGAGAAAGAATGCCCGTCTACGTTCTAGCGTCTGCGTCAGTGCTACGCTCGATCGACGAATCACCGTAAAAATGAAGGCGCTCGAACCAATAGTAGAAGCATCTCACGGGCGTATCCACCGTGGCTACACCGACTGACTATACCGTTGCCTACACATCGAAGTGTGAGGGATAGAAGATGCTGTCTATTCAACGTTCGTATTGCTTGCAACATGTCTAAAAAGGCTAACAAGCCAGGTTAGAAACGCAGATGACTGTTGTCTATCCGCTGGTTGTACGTGGCTCACCACCGCTTGCATAGCAAACATTGCTGCAGCACAAGCCGCGGCTTTGCTTGCCCTATCCGCGCTTTGACGTAGTTCAACCACCCAGTATGGCTTTTCCAGCGTTCAGCATTGCCTCCAATTTTTGGCGGTGTAAGCAGCCAGCCGGCCCAACCATAAAAAGCCCCTGAAGTTACCAGTGCGATGCAGAACTGCAATTGTTGACCCCGGTAGCACTTTCTGGCTCCTCCGGGACGCAATCAAATGTAGTCTATGTACGTCTCGTGCCCATCACGAAATGTGGCACGCAAGACGGGATGGCGATGACCGACCACGGCGTCCAGCACCTTAATTTAGTATAGTCAATGCATCGT